GAGCAAAGCTTCTTAGGACTGGAGAGGAGGCAGCTGTTTTCTGATGGCTTTACATGTTGGAGATCTTTTTAAGGCTATGGTAGGTTGGAGGCCATCGCTAGTTCACTAGTAGGTTGGAGGCCATCGCAAGTAGTCTATGCTCTAGCATTCGGAAAGGGCCCACTGACTGTGGGCTGTGGGCTGGGCGGCACGCAAACAGCTGAAGGCCGAGTTCTTGGACCGGCTCATGAGCTCCGTTCCTGCCATGCCCTGAAAAAGGCAAACACTTCTTGCCATGTACACCTTCGCTGTGCGAGTGTGTTGACAAGCAGGCTGGGCCAACGCAAGTTGCGCGCCCTCCGTACCTAGTACTTAGTAGTTGTTGACATCAAATATCGTACGAGAAACATGTCCAGCTAAGGCCGCTTCAAGAAGGACTAGGCGGTTGGGTTGTCAAAGCCGTAGCTGCTTCCAGCACGTCCCTCCCCACCAAAGCCCATTTGAAGACGATCATGCTAGGCTTCGATCTACCACGGCCTAAAACTTCAACCTGCGTGCGCTCGCATTTCTTCTTTGGCCTTCGATCTACCACGCCAAAAAAGAGGCGGAAAACAAAGCCAACCACACTGCCACGCTGCTTCGCATCGGCGGAAAAGCGGGTTGGTGAGTGGTGGTACCCGCTGCGTCTCGGACCACACCCCGCTGCTTCGGGAAAGAACACCAAAGCGACTTCCTGGAGTCAAGCCAAACGATTCTGAATCCGGCAACGATCCTTTTGTTCTCGCAAATCGATCTGAATCCGCATCCCAAGCAGCTCAGAGGCCGCACATAAACCTCAGCACCGAGCTTGGAACAGCGGCACACATTTGTTGAAATATGACTCGACCATTCATTGGTCGGTCTCCTGTATTCAAGAATGAGTACCGTTTTTGATCCCAAAACTACTATGAGGACACGATGCATTTTTTGCCTCAGCTCTTCCAGGTCTTTCCCCTCCTTGTCAATGACACCCTAAACCTTCCAAAGAAAACCCCTCAACCTGATCTGCCAACTCGAAAACCAAAGCCACTTTGGCCCTTGAAAAATCGGATCACGTGGTGAGCCATAAATAATGCCTGGAATGTACATCCAGCTCGGGGCGTAGAGCTAGGTTAGCTCAATGACACGCACGACATGTTGCGGATAGCACCCAAAACACCCAAAAAAAACATACTCAACGATACTGAAGTACTGGAAGGAGATGATCCTTTGGGCTTTATGAGCGTATTCGGCTTTGGACATGTGACGCGGAAGTCACCAGAACCAAAGTCGTCAACAGCTGCATGGCTGCTACAACTTGTTTGGACCCAAAATAATCCAGTCAAAAAATTATGTGTTTGATTTCAGCAAATGAGACTCCATCTGTTGAGTAAGGATTCCTGATGATTCCATTAAAAATACTGACCCATGTGATTGTCAAGAGTGATGCACTCGTTCCTGAGCAACAGAATCTTAAAGATCGGGGCTCCTGTTCCTGAACCATCAATGACCATCCCAACAACCATGTTCTTGAAAAAAGAAACCTGGAACCCCAAACAACCAGAAACACCAATGTGGCAATTAGGATCCTTTACATAAGATGTGGCTGTCTGGTTGTTTGGGGTTCCAGGAAGGACCAAGTTATCACTACCAACTTACCGCTCCTGCGCAATTCCTCCAACACGATCACTACCTCTCTGAGCACTACCCCAACCGCTTCGGTATGCTCTGGGCCTTCGCCTCTGAAAACGTCCAGGGCCTTCGCGTGGCGCCTGTGACGAGTCGGTGGCGGGTTTGTGCGACACGCGCCGTGAAACGACGGGCCTGCATCAGCGCTAACAGGTCTGAGGCAAAAAAATTATTGGCGTTCGTGAGTGGATGTGATTTGAGAGGGAAAATCGTGCCTCAATGCACGAAGCTGGTCAGCTGGTCTTGTTTGGGACCCAACAACTTCTTGGTCCACTGGCGGCTTCTCGAAAATGGCATCACCCCATTAGGTCCCAGCCGCTTCGCCTTCAGATGGTCTCCACCGCCAGCCGGTGCGACTCCAAGCAGAGGTGCTCCAAACCCCGGTCCTGCCAGATCCAGCAGTGGGGAGAGGCGGTCACAGGGCCTCTCTCGAATAGCCACAGATTCCCCCCACAGTGACGGATCATATTACATCTAATACAAATTAGTATAATGTAATATGATATAATACAGTAATATAGTACCAGAAATAACAGAAATATCTCTGTGAGTCAAAACGGGCGGGGGGACCTTGGTTCACCCCCCTTTCCTCTTTGAACAGATTCCTCTACAAAGGGATGGTTTGTAGGGTGAGGTTTTGACGCGCACCCACATCTCCCACCACTGATGGAGACCAGACCTCCACTGACAGAAGCTCGGAGACGTGGCTCCCCTCCACTGCGCTTGCTTTCGCTACCTTTGGCTCCCCACAGCCGCACCCGCATTGGATTTCGCAGGAGGTGAAACCTGGTAGTTAGGTGTCTGTAGGGGGTAAGTTATTTTTAGACCCTGGAGACCTCCCCTCCACCGCTCTTCTCAAAGAGGGAAGAAAAAAGGGAGCCCGAACATGTCCGTGCGAGTCATCAGCCGATTTCGTGCGGTCCTTCTCAAAATCTGGCTCAGGATGGGGGCATCGATTGAAGGGCCACAGCGCTCGCAACTATTCAAGTTGAAGGCCGGTTCTCAGGTTGGAGGCCATCGCTCTCAGGTTGAAGGCCATTGCTATTTGGTGGGAGACTCTTCAAGTTCCTCGACGCAACTCGTGGCACTTGCGAATTGTTCGAAGTTCTTCCGAAAGGTCGCGGTGACCGGACACACCGTCGGTCGAAGTGCTCACGAAGTGCTCACGAAGTGCTCAGAGGTCTGCAACGTCTGCGAAGTCCGGCCCACTTTGACAGCCAAATGTGTTTGACATGGGTTTCTTTGGAAGAAAAATGAGTTTTGTCATGTTTTGTCTAGTCATCCGTCATCGTGATCCTAACTTCTTTTTGGAGAAAAGTTGCAGATTTGAATGAGCACCAAGGACTTGAGCGGGCGCCGTATGCAAAAAGCTCGAAAAAGGACTCGTTCTACCTGCCGGTAGCAACCAGTCCATACTGCTGACAGTGTTTTTAAAGCACTGATCGCTGATCAGCGGCTCCAGCTTCGGCACCTTCTTCGGCTCTTCTCGTGTTGGGAGCCATAAGCCTTCACTCTCCAGGTCAGGTCCCACCAGCCACAGCCTGGTCGCCCGCCGTGGCAAGCCGGTGGCCACTCGGGCAGCCCCGTGACCGGCACGACACGCAAACACGCACGGCGAAGCAGGTCCAAGGCAACCGGGCGAGGCGATGGTTCAGATGGGACGTAGGCAGATCTGCCGAGATGGATGGGTTTCAAGGACTTCGATTTCTCAGCGCTCCAAGCTTCCCATTGAACACATGAGATTTGGGCGATCAGCGGGAGGTCGTCTTTAGTCCTGCGGCCTGGTCCAAGCTGCTTACGAGTCCAGCTAGCCCGCAACAAGCTGGTGCAGTCAAGGGAGCATCCGCAGTTGTCCAAGCATGGGATGATGCAGATCTGGTTCCAGCGTGGTAACTCAGGTCTGACACCAGCTTCATCCTGCATCCAAGGGACTTGGTTGTCTTGATCCCGGAAAATGTGAGATCTCGAGCAAGTGACTTCAGTGACCTTAACGGGCTGGGGATCTCCCCCATTGAAAACTCAAAGCGCATCTGCACGCGCATCTTGGCTGCACAGCAGGAGAGGCTTTGTGAGCCAAGACTACCACAAAGGCCCCCGTGATCCAGCCGGACTACACCATCTTGCAGCCAACATTGATCTATCTGTTTCTGCTAGTCCACAAAAGCAAGCGTCAGGCTGCCTTACACTACACCTTCAGAACGGATCTAAGAACCAAAGAGATCCAAGGGCTAGCCACCTTCACCCAAGGTGAATTTGCTCGACCTTAAGCACCTGTCCACACTACACTCCCTTCTCCCAATGCCCTTGGGACTTCTGGTGTCAAACTTTGGGCCTCTCTTGTTGTAGCTCTACACTCGTAAAAGCTTTAAAAAAACAAGCCCTTGGCTGTAAACCCTAACCTCAAACCAGGCTTCAGCATGAATTGATGCGCAAGCTCCAAGGCACGCAACTCTGCGTGATGAAAGAGCAAGCTTGGGCAGCGCCACAGGCATGAGCTGGAGAGAAGGCTTCAGGCAGTGGCCAGCGCCACGTCTATATATCTACTTGATTCGAAATCATCGTGGCGCTCTTCAACTGCATTTCTTTGCATAGCCGGAATCTACTGCATACATCTACCGGCCCTTGAGATGGTGCTTTGGCCCGTGCATCACTTGATTTGATGAGAAATGCCCCTTAAAAGATTTGCCGAACGAGCAGGGCGAAACATGTTCTTGTCCAGAACTCTTTCGAATGCCAGCTGCAGCATCTTCACTGGGAACTTGGCTTCTCTGGTTTTGGATCGAGGGGACTGCTGCCAGTCACCAACAAATTTCAAAAAGCCTATGGCAGTGATAGGAGAGGAAGAAGTGGTCAGGAAGAGGGCTTTGTCTGCATCGACTCCATTTGCCACAAACTGCTGCAATCTCCAAATGTCTACCTTGGTTTCGCACTTGATGACTCTCCTTACCGCTTTAGTCAAATCCCTACCCTGTGTGTTGGGCTGCAGCTCCGCTGTGCGGCTGTGGCTGCAGCAGGACAGCTGCAAGCAAGCCACACTTGAAGGAATGCAAGCTCTTGTGCACCTTAAGATCCATCTTTTCTTGGCAAGAGTAGAACAAAGCTGCAACTGCTACATGACTTGACTCCTTTTCGCAAAACCTTGCTGCGAGTGGTCACTGGGTCAGCAGGCACCTAGGCCGTGCGGGTCAGCAGTAGATCCACTCCCATCTCTCGAGCAGCACAGGCAGCACAGGCACCACAGATCTGTAGCTCCACTCTCAGGTGCCCCTCAGGTCGCTCGCCAGGTCGGTGCCCCCCAGCGGTGAGCTCTGAGGCTACGCGTTTTGGGCGAGGCCATCGACTGGATGGATGAAAAGAGAGAGGGAGAGCCGGGAGAGCCGCCCCAAAAATGAGGCGCTTAGATTAGATCTGATCGTCTTATATAGAGGCGTGCAAACGGTGCAGGCAGCCTCACGGTGCAAGCAGCAATCAAAACATCGAAAAACCTGAAATGGCACCTGCCATGTGAGGAGCCCACGCCGAGTCGGGAAAATGGTACGGGCCATGCCATGTTCGTCCGGGAAGTGATACAGGCCCTGTCGGCCGTCGCATCGGTTGGCATGTTCAACTGCTGAAGCAAAGCGGTCCTCCTCTGAAACTATTGAAAGCGTGTGTTGGCACCTGTGGTGGTGCATTTGCCGCTTGCATCACTGCATTTGATGGGAAATGCTTCTCAAGGAAGTGCTGAATGAACAGGGTGACATGCTTTTCTTACCAAAAATTCTGGGGAATGCAACGCGAACAATCTTCACTGTAAATTTGACATCTCCGGTCTTGGAACCAGGGGACTGCTGCGAGTCACCGGAGGAAGAACTGGTAAGGACCAGGATGGAAGAGGGCTTTGTCTGCATCAAGCACAACCTGCTCCGGTCTCCACATCTCCGTCACACTTTCGTCGCTCTCCATCCAAGCTTTCTGAAGGACGTGGCAGCAAAATGACTCGGCTCCACATCTGACGCATTGCAAACTACCTCACATGACAGCTGATCAATTGGATGAAAAACTGGTTGCTTTGTCAAGGCCGGATGTGTGGCAAAACACCAATCTTTGCTTGACAATCTTTTGACAAACCACCCCACATGTACCCTGAGCATCGAAGTCTTCATCAAAGACCTCAAGCTTCTGCACCTTCCGCAAGCCTTCCCGTCCAGTCACTTCCGCTACAAGTGGCCGGGTGAGGAGCCCATGCATCAGGGATCATCAGGCTCATCAATGGTACCGGCCAGGTGAAGACTGAGCGTGCACCAAGCTGAGTGCTTGGCGCTCTTAGGGTGTCACACTTGGCACTGTGACCAGGTCGACCATATCTCAAAGCCGCGGTCTTTCAGGATCTTTGACGAAGGACCGAACCTTATGAATGTGATTTATGCAACGTCTGACACCACAAAGCTGCCAAATCTGCCATGACTTCATGACTTCCCAAAAAAAGCCAGTCACTTCAAACTGAGGTGGTGTAAGAGACCATCCTTCAAAGTCGATCAACACGGCGCGGCTTTCCCAAGCCAAGCTGACCAGGCACAGAGATGGTTTGACTAAGAACTTTGTCATGTATTTTCACCGGTTCACTACAAATCCAACTTCTCACAGCCGTCCTTGTTCCGTCACACTGGCAGGGGTTTTGCTGTGGGTTGCTCGCAGTGTTTGTGGACACATCCGCCTCCTCTCAAAGCTCAGGGAGTGTGGTTTCAGAGATTTTGGTGTTGAGAATGGAGACCTTCTTGATCCCAAAGCTGCCTGAGCCTTCTCAAGCAACCAACGATTGCGAAGGCTAACAACCGTCATGAGCCCACAAAGCTGCAAGTCTACGCCAGCATCTGGGATTCCTACCCTCACCTGCCTAGAACGCAAGCCTCCGCTGGCACAAGCATTCGGTGGCGTCAGTAGCATCGGCTGTAGCTGTCGCACATCAGGCAGGTGGTGACTTTGTGCTACACTCCCCCTCGCGTCGCATCCAATGCCTACATGTTTCAAAACAATCAGCTGATCAACCTTGAAATGAACCGTCAACTTTTCCCAACAACCCCCTTGATCTTCAACCCCTCAACCAGCTGCAGAGCACCGTTGCTGATGACACCCCCAAAACCTACGGGTCCGAAAACTCATGTTTGGTGACAAGGCGACAGGCCGGTGGCACAAGGGCACTAAAAAGCAGAATGCTGCATGAAGAGATCAACGCTTCAGACATCTTCAAATCCGGAAAGAATTCCGGATGGAATCGGTTCCAAGAGCAACAGACGCTTGCGTGGTTTGACACCGGATGCTTGGTCGAACCCGTCTTCAGAAGACGTGCCTGTTGCCCCGATCGGCCTGATCCCACGTGCTTCAGGTGTTCAAACTGCATCCGACTGGACCTCAGGGTATCCATGAATTGTGCGGTCCTCCCGCGGTAGACAGACAGACCTTCGGGCACCTTCCTCGCCACCTGCAACCCTTCGGACCCCCAAAACGACGGCAGCACCGAAGGTCACCGGCCGCCCCTCGCGTAAACCGGTCTCAGTCTCAGGGTCCGGCGTCCCTGACCGGTCACGTTCAGCCAGCTAAGACCGGACCTCCCGCGGTCGGACGTTCCGAGGGAACGTGACGGCGCCGGCGCTGTTCTACCGAGATGACACGTGACGGTGCTGGTAGAACTCGACACGTGACGGTCACGCGTCGAACACTTCGACTGGTCACCATTCTGGACGAGCGTCGAACACCGGTGCCGACCGGCGTCCCTTCTGCTTGCAAGGAGTGCAGCTTGCCTAACAGAATGACTTGGTCTTTTGAGGACTCCGCAACCTTCACTAGCTGAGAGAAATCGTGCGAAAACGGGCAACTCCAGCAGATAAGCCGCTTCGGCTTATATACGCACAGCAAGCGCTCTTGCAGAAGGTTGCTGTTCCAAAGTGGTGTACTTTCAAATTCACAGCTGCTTGACGCTAGGTGGCAAAAAGGGAAGGAGTGAGTGGCTAGAGTGAGAAGACTCTTATCTGTCTCAGCCCCTTGTGGGCTTACCTGGCAAGCTGAGTTACAAGCATACTTCTCTGTTTCAAAGAACATTCTAGTCTTTGTGCAGGCATCAGATTCACACCCACCTGTGGAGCAAATGGCTTGGTGAATGTGACCGTGATTATAGCCTGCAGAGGCGTCTTTGATCCACAAAAAAAAAGATGTTGCCTTTTAAAATGGGTAGATCTCGCGATTCTGGGTGCACACTTCACAGGTTCCAAAGTGTAAAACGATTCCTCGGCGGTGACATGGAAGGCCTTGCCAAAGCCAGCAAGCTTAGATCTGTAACTACCTGCAAGGGATGCAGCTTGCCTGACGGTAGGACTCCGTGCTTCAACGACTCGCCAACTTTAACGAGAGAGCGAGAGACATCATCTGAAGACTCACAGCTTGAGTACATGACAGGCTTGTGCTTATGCACCCACAGCAAGGGTTCTTGGTACGTGCTCTTTCGGCATGGCTGTTGATGACTATCGCTGGGTCTTTATATACTATACCTTCACATCCAGAGCCGCTCGACATGCGCAGGAAGGAGCGACTAGAGCAAGAAGGCTCCTATCGGTGTGTTCTTCGCACAATAGCCAGGCGTGCGAAGGAAGGTCCACAACATCAGAATGGGTGTGTTCTTGCTTCACCGCCTATCAGGCTTGCAGGTCATCTAAAGGATGCAAAAGGAAGATCAACTGTTCCAGCTAGGCAGCCCCTGCTAGGCATGTGCTTTGGAGGCCCTGGCCCTGCGTGCCCCTGTTGCTTGAATCTTCAAAAGGGCACGCTGAAATGCCAGGTTTGCTGCTACAATGAGAGACAAGTGTCCGTCTCAGAATCTTCTTGTGACCATGCGAATTATACGAGACGGAGCTCTTATATCTCTTTTTCCCTTCATGCAAACTTTCTGTTGTGGTTGCAACACGTGATTCGGCGTGATGAATAACCTGTCAATCCCCTTGGGTTGGCCTTGCGCAATGCCGACTTCACAGTATTCAGGCAGTGAAATTGCATGATATCAAGGGCGCTGTCAAAACCGAAGACTCCAAGCTCTCCGCAGAGTCACGACCTCAGAATCAGAATCAGCTTCACCCGCCTCGTCCACAGGGCTGGCTGCCTCGTCCATCCAATCACATACCCTGGTGAGGCCCTACCCTTGTGAGGCCCTACCTGTGTGAGTCCAAGGAGTGCGAGATCCAGCAAGTTGTTAGCTTCCAGTGCATCTCCAAACGCCTTCCAGGCACAGTTCTTCGCTAGCTGCAAGTGCTTTGCACCAACGAACCGTGTGTCAGTACCTGCTCGCCGGTCACTCCAACCTGGCGACAAGTCCCAGCCGTGACCTGTGTCGTTACCGTGTTCACTCGCCTCTCCGCCGGCGTCGATCCGCTCTCATCACGGAGCTCGGCTCAAGACCGTCGGCGGCGCACCGGTCCGAGCGGAATTCAACGGATGCTCCGGTGAGGGCTCGTGCGCGGGGCGCGCCGCGTGCGGCGGAGACCTCTCCACGGTTCAGGCTGGTTGTTGAAAAGCATGAGTGCTTTCTGTGATGAAATGTGCTGAAAAGGAGCATACCATTGGTCTGGGGTGGGCCGTTTCATCAACTCAAGCACGTGGGCTTGGCCGCAACCGTCTAAACTCAGATATTGTGTCTGTTGCTTCTAAAAAAGTTACCGATCTCAATGCAACTACAGCCCTTAACTCCAGAAAACCTGCAAGCAGCCTCATCCACGTCCACTTCATGCCAAACGCACAATCTCCGCCGCAACTCACTTCTCACAACAAACTCCTTCAGCCAAATGCTCTCCCACCAGGCAAGCTGCCCTTTCGCTTCAGAGCCAAGACGTCAAGAGGACAGTGATCAACATCGACCCCCGACCAGCATGCGCAGGTGGGAGATGAGGACTTGCACACCTTCATCCTGCTTATAACGCGTTTTGGACTTAACGGCACTGCCTGGACCGGAAAGCAAAGCCAGCAGGGCTGCCATCTGCTTTCAGGGTCAGTCATGTTGCGGTGCTGAGGATTGGACGATGGAACTCAGGAGTAAAATCAAGCGATGGGACTCATGTGAGGTTCGGTCAAACATCATCTACAGCCCACAGGGAAACATCCAAAAGAGGATTACCGTCCATCTTTAGCATGCTCACTGCGTCAGCATGCTGGGATGGAAGATCATGAAACATTGCTGCGAAAGTGCAACGAGCTGTCCAATTTCTGTTCCTTCTTCTGCTCTACTCTTCGCATACCTGCATGCCAAGTTCTTGCCGTGGGCACACATGAAATCTGGGAAACCGCTTCTGGGAGTCTGGGAGGAAATAGGTCTTAAAGTCCAATCAAACCGGCTGCAAAAATACACACCGTCTCACGCACATTCTCACACTCAGAGTGGTCACACATCGCCGGACACCCATGGAAAACCTATAAAACCATAATTCGACACCGTCGCTGCTTCGGCGACCCCGCACTTGATGTTGGACCTGATGGTTTTCGCGCGTGCAATCCAAGTGCGGCACAAAGGCTCCAGGCACAAGGTCATTTGACGTGAGCCAACTGCGCCAAAGCATTTCATGGGCCAAATGCGTTGGGCCAAATGAGCGCGCGTTCTTGAGTTTGGTCCAAGTTCCAGTCCCATGCAGGAACTCTTAGGGCCGCAAGGAATGCTCCCGTGAATCGAGGACAGGCCAGTCCACGTCTGGCACTTCCCATGAAACACCGCTTTTTTTTCCGCTGCTGTCTCACGCACCGCAGAACCCTTTCAAAGGCAAAGCAGCGACCCTACACAAAATGTGCACAGCACCAATGTGCTGTTTCTCCCGGTGTGAACTTAATCCGCTGGAAGTGTTGCACAAAGAATGGCATTGATCTCGCTTGAGACTGGACTGACTCTGACGCTTCATGCCAGCGACAAGTTTGGAAAACCTCACAAACTCCCACCCAGATGGAGGCCGCTTCCCCCGGCTACACGTGATTCTGCAAGCACCATTTCTGGTGGTGAAATGGATCTAGACAATTACGTGGTTTGACCACAAAATGGAGGTGGGATCGAGCTACGGCGCTACGAGCAATGTCAGCCGGCACGACTGCAACCCTATGACTTGAGCAAAGGATGCCCGTGAAATACCTGCTTGACAGGGCAGAGATCTGTTGGAGAACTTGCGAAAGACTCTGGCTCTATGGTGAGGCGAAAGTACACAATAGACATAGACCGTCCTGAAGCAAGGACAGGTTTGTCCGTGTCTGCTGCCTCCGACAAAACACATGTCACACAACTCTTCACATGCTCAGTGGGGCTTCTCTTGCTTCTCTTCAGTTTCTGGAGAGGGGTGTGTGGTATTAGAAATATTGGGCTACGATTTGTGCAGAAAAAGAACGGACTGGACATGTTTCTAATGCTCGGTTTCTGACTTTCTCGATGCACCATACCAGATCCTCCCACGACCCAGATACCCCCGTGCGCGATTTGGGAAGAACTGATACCAAGAGAGGCTAAGTGATCTGAGAGGACCTCTAAGTTGGGATACCTTTTGGGATAGTGAAAAGGGTTCTTCAACCTCTGCCGAATCCTCTCATGAAGCCAATTCCGGTGAAGCCGGGCCAAAGCAGAGGACGGCTCGATCCATTCAGGTCCTTCTAAGCTACACATCAACCAAGCAGCCCGACAGCCTTCACAGCTACACATCGCAGCCCGACCCTGTCGGATTTTGGACCACTCGTCGGACCGGCGCTCGGATTGCCACGGACCGGCGCGAAAGGAGAGCGCTCGGAGAGCGCCTCAGGCGTTCTGGCGTTCAAAGACGACTGCGGCGCTCCTCCCTAGGACGACCGGCGGACAGACAGGTCGACCTCACCGGAACGTCGCTCACCGGACGCGCGGACGGGGCCGGTCCCGGGCGCGAAGCGGTCGAAAGCAGCGA